CGAGCACTTCCCAGTTTGGTAAAAGGTTTATGGGGATTGGGTTTGAATATCCCTTCTATAATTTGTGCAGTGGAGAGATGGCAGAGAGGAATTCACCTTGTTAACTCAGCAATTAGTCATACATACATCCAGCCTATTATGGAAGACAAGCCAGCAATACAAAGTAGTACAACAGAGATCTCATCTTAATTGTAAAAAATATACATTAAAAAGTCAATATCTATGTCAAAAATAATATTTCAAAATGATCACAACTCTTAACTTGGAGATGCAAACCTTGACACCGGAGCTTCTCTTTTGACTGTGAGAGCAAATCCTGATTCCCGCAGGGAAAAAAATCTGGCTTGAGGTCATGGTCATGGTCTAGCATTTTTTTTTAAAAAAACTTAGTGTAAGTCATAGTTGCAGGTGGAAAAAGTGTCCAGAGAGCTGGTGCGTAGATGGGGCGTAAGCTTACCCTCACACACAAAGATACACAAGGATAGTACAGACTATGTACAGTGTATACACAGAATTTATTATTGTCACCTTGTCAAGTCTAGGTGTACTTTATAATTGATCTATCATACAGTCAGTAATCGATAAAGTTCAATATTACTGAGGCTAAAGAGTTCAACAGTTTTATCATATGTACTGTATTTGAAAGGAGGACAGTATTGTTTCCATATATCTCTGTACTCACGCTACTCCCAGTAGTATGTGCTTGTGCAAATGTGGTAATCTCCTTAGCCTCATTAAACTAGAAGGAGATTAGTGGGAGATGCACATAAATAAACATAATACCATAGGAAATTGAATTAGCAGCAGGGATAAATGTGTCATGGGGGAGAAAATATACAATTAAAAAGTCAATTAATAAATTCCCCTTACGAGGCTTTGGCTGTTGTTTGGTTTGGCCACAAGCTGCTACAGTGAGCAAGTTGGTGAGGTACTAGTCTGGATTAGCGTTGCATGTCTTCTTTAGCACCCTGTTCTGTGCGTACTACCAACATTTCTGTCGGCTCACTATCTGGTGGATGTTTCTAACATATACAGCACAGTGGAACCTCGGTTGTCGAATGCCTCCCAATAGATGCCTCCCAGACAATACCATACAAGCAGCAAGTTATCACTAAGTGACAGACAGTTGAGTCAGTCCGTGTTCGGGACTTACATGCTAAGAACCAGTGTCCGGTTTTGCCAGTATTTCTTGCGTTGTGCTATTTCTTCTATTATTTATTTTTTTTACTGTATTTAATAAATCACCATGGGAAAAAAAATAGTGAGAACAACAATAAAGGGGATACCAAAGTACCATCATTAAGAACAAGGAAGCAATAAAAGAAGCTAAGGTTGCCAAAGAAGTGACTGCAAAAACCAAGCAAATATCTCAGATATTAGAAAAGTGGAAAAGTTGCTACTGATTTGGATAAACTAAAAGCAGTTGTGCAATAAGGTTGAAGTATAAAGAGGTTTTTTCAGTTCCCCAGAACAAAAAAAGCCTCTTGGATGAGAGGTGAAACGTCTTATTTGAGAAAATTTCACATCAGGTTGTGACTTTTAAAATACAGGCCCCCAGAAAAAAGTTTGGGAAAACACTGGTCTAATAGACAGAGGTGAGGAGAGTGTGCGAGTGCCTCTTGTAGTTGTGTATTGAATTTCGAGTGACACCCGAAAGCGAAGCAGCATCTGGCTGCATTTTAAAGATACTGGAAACAACAAAGGAGAATACCTTCAGTGCAAAATACAAAAAAACTTTTAAGAGCATGTTCCACCACAAACCTGCATAGACATATCAGAACTGTCCATCCTACAGTCAGTGCTGTTAGAGGAGAGAGGGCAAGCTAGCACATCGTCTACTGATCCTGGTGTGTCTCATCCCAAAACAACAGCAACTGCAGCAGCATCTACTGGCTTCCCCACACATACATTACTATTAAATGGCTGCCATTTTTGCACTTTGCTGAAATATAATTGGTAAACATGTATTTATGTGAGGTGGTCAGTGAAAGTTTCCCATTTCTTGATGGTGACCCACGTATCGTCTACATATCTGAACCAATGTCTCGGTGGGTGGCCTCTGAAAGGTTGTTAGGGCCATACTCTCCATATACAAGTTACAATGGGGAATACTGGCGATCCCATGGCACAGTCGTGTTTTTGCCTGTAGAAACCTTGGTAATATTGGAAATAGGTGGTGTTGATAGGTCAAGAAGGTCACACAACTGTTCAGAGGAGAGGTTGGTCCTTTCTGTCAGGTTGCCATCATGCAGCAGTTTTCTCTTTATTGTCTGTACCCCAGTGGGGATGCAAGTGAAAAGTGATGTGACATGTAATATGTGTACAGTGTAATATGGTGTGGTGTCCCCCACCAATGGAGGGGGGGGGGGGGGGGGTAGCAAGATACTGAACAATATTGTAGGTGACCGAGTTCATATACAATGGTTCATATACAGCATACAATGGTTCGGAGGGGGGCGCCTTTACCGACTCTTTAACCCATTTGTCCTGGGTATCCAGTTTGGTTGTATAAGTGATTGATGACAGTGTCTTTCAATTAGTTCTTAATAATAGTAATTAGTCTTATAGTATGATTGACTTGTGCTAGGTAAGGCCAACAAATGTTTGTTCAGGACATCATTTTATTAGTGAACCATCTGCATCATGAATGGAAGAAAACAATGTTTAGTTACATCTCTAACTCTCTTGTTTATATGACAATTTGATCTACAGGGAGAGAGGATTTCCCCATGCGCAATTTGGGAGCAGCACCTGTGTACCCACAGCAGGAGAGTGAGGTTCTGGCTGATGACCCTACACATCCCGTGGTTCAGAATTGGAAAAGGCCGACCGCACTCAGCTGTGTTACCATCAAAAGGTACATGTTTGACATGGTGCCCACTGCAGGCAGAAAGCAGCACAGCCGTGATCTGAACACAAAAATCACAGCACCTTGAAAAGGTCAGATGGGTGTCTGCCAGTTCGATAGGGCAGACCTGTCAAAGATCCTCCCACATAAACTGGCTGGCCTTGAGTAAGAGATGCCCATGCACATAACATACTTCAGATACTGAACCGCACATGCGAAACTGGTCCTGTAAACTTAACATACTGAACTCCAACTGAACCATTTGAAACCAACCTGTATACATAAACATTAACATATTCTTGAAAATACAGTCTTACAACTTTACATCAGTTACTGTAAAATGAATTTTCTCTAACAGTGTTTGAGGTTTGCGCTTAAACACATTATGTAGTACAGTAGAATGACAAGATACATAACACTATAACTTTACAATTTTACCTGCACATTTCTGAATATACTTATCTGACACAACTACAACTGAAATAAAGATGCACTGAACATTTCAGGGACCTTGTACATACTAGATAATGAACATGGTTATGTGCAGCTCTATTATGTATTTCAATTAGTCTAAAATTAAAAAAACTACATCAAAAGATGTAGCTTGTAAAGTTGTTACAAATATGCATAATACATCACTGACAAGTATGTTTGTGTTGCTTTAGCTGTCTGCAGATAAAGGAAGCACGATCTACATCCGAGTGGTGCTTTGTTATTGGGCGGAGCTGGATAGACCTGGCAGACCCAAACGTATCGTGAGGGTTTGTTGGGAACGTCTGCCGTCAAACTGAAGAAGGAGTCTTACCGAGCCTGGTTGGTTCGGGGGACTCCTGAGGCAGCCGACGGATAAAGGGCGGGCCAAGCGGACTGCGGCTCGGGTAGTCGCAGAAGCAAAATCTCAGGTCTGGAAAAGGTTCGGGGAGGCCATGGAGGAGGACTACCGGTCGGCAACGAAAAAATCTTTGCACCCTCCAGGTTGGGGAGGAGATCAAGTATCTTACGGAAGGATGGAACGTGGGATTGACAGGGATTGTCGCTGTATCGGTTCGTTGTGGTGAATCTACGTCAACGTCAATCTACGTTCCTACCCTCACCTATGGTCGTGATCTACTTATCATTTTACAGATTTATTTAAACAAATGAAAGTTCCATACAATTTATTTTTCTTTACAATGGATATTCATAGCTTATACACAAATATAGAAACACAAGCAGGATTAATGGCTATTAAAAAAATATTTATTCGATATCCAGATAAAAATAGAATTTGACTTTGTATGTAGCTGTATGTAGCTTATACTAACATATTTCCACCATTTGAAACATATTTCCAAATTATGGAGCTTCCTGTCAAGTTTAGATTCAGAGAAACTAATCCACAAATTCATAACTAGCAGATTAGATTATTGTAATGGTTTACTCACTGCACTCTCAAAATTAAGCATTCACAGACTACAGTTAATTCAAAATGCAGCGGCACATGTTCTCATTGCTTCCTCCGCTCCATGCTGGATCCAGGACCCCGCCCATAGTCCTGCATCCATCTGTTGTTGCTACTGTGACTGTCTGTAACTGTAACTGGCAGGGGGTGTCTATCATTGTTGCATTTTATTACTATTAACTATTGGAACAATTGTAAAGCACATTGAATTTGCTTTGTGCATGAAATGGACTTTATAAATAAATTGACTTTTCACTGTTTCTGTGGAAAACTTCTTGTCTAATTCTGCAACACTGGTCTTACAATGACCCATTTTTTGTAAGAGCACAAAATAGCAGACGTTGTCGACAGGGTTCGAACCTGTGCGGGGAAACCCCAATGGATTTCAAGTCCATCGCCTTAACCACTCGGCCACGACAACTGAAAACCCACTACTTTAGCTACAACCTAGTACCACACACAAGACCAGAGCACCAGCTGGTTCAAGAAATAGTTTTTTCTAATAACCTCACAAATAATTTGTCATTTCCGCTTTACTGGGATCAATGCCCGCATCCGCCAGAGCATTTACATTCTCAAAATAAAAAATGTCCTCGTTAGAACAAACAAGTATGACTTTTCAGTTCACTGTATTTGTATAAACCTTCTTGTCTAATTCTGCAACACTGGCCTTACCATGAACTGTTTCTTGTAATAGCCTAAAACAGCACACGTTGTCAAAAGGGTTTGAACCTGTATGGGGAGACCCCAATCGATTTCAAGTCCATCGCCTTAACTACTCAGCCATGACAACCAAAAACCCACTGATTCCACTGATGTGAACAGGCAGTAGGTCAAGGGCAACCCCAACATGAAGAATCGCTCCAAACAGTTCAAAGTCGTTGAGGTAGGCGTTGAGGTACCTGTCGACTGCGAACATGGTCAGACCCACCTTGTTTCTTGTGCAGCTCATCATAAAACATTTCCTTCCAGATGATGGGCACTCTCCAGTACGTGCAGGTTTGTACGTCACCATGAGGTTGAGACTAGCATCAAAACTGTTGTCCAGACTCAGATCCTTCCTGTTCTCCAGAAAACAATGTTCCATGGAAACAAACTTTGTTGCAAAACTCATAAAATGTATGGCAGTAGCGCTAATGTAGAGGACAGAGAGGACCAGTGGAAAGAGAAGAAAACACTTGGCCACGCCCCACACCCTCTGAGACAATCTGGTTCTTGTAAAGGACTGCATCATACCTCAGCTGACCGACTCCTAGTTACAGTCAGTGACGGTGACTGCACTGTGGGTCAGCGGCCCTGGTGTGGCCTTTGCCACCCCCTCTGGAACCACTGGGGAGGTGAGAGCCTCAGGAACCTCTGGGGGGAGTGAGCACCACCACCTCTGGAATGACTGGAGGCGACACTCCAGCAGGTGCTGGTTTCATCACACAGGCGATCACTGGAGATCCAAGTTACCAGAGGTATGGGTGCCACTGGCGCTGGGCCCACCAGAGGTACAGATAGAGCAGGAGCCATCAGATCATCAACCAGGGAGGGGCAGAGAATAAGGCAGATGTCAGCCTCTACAGGCCACAGAGATAGCTGCAGCAGGCGAACTCAACGAGGGAGAAACTGTGGGGGAGATGCTACTCAAGCCGTGGCAGGTGACACGAGTGAGACTAATCAAAGAGACGCAGGTGAGTGTGATGACACAGATTACCCCACTGTCAGGTCTGTCTGTTCCTGCTGTCTGCTGTGTGGGGTAATTTGTGTTATCACACTCACCTGTGTCTGCAATTAGCCTCACCTATGTCACCTGGTACTCCCTGTGTATATATACCCCTCTCCCTCACTCTGGCCTTGTGAGCACTGTATCGGTCGTGCCAGCTTTTGTAGCTGTTCCTAGTCAGTTCCTGAGCAAGTCTGTTGCTGTGCTCAACTCTGTTAGTGTTCACAGCTCTGCTCGACTTTGTGTATGCTTCTGTCCTGGTTTTTGGAATTTTGAATCTTTAAATACACTACCTGCACCAGTCCTGCATTTGGGTCCTGCCTGCTTCCTGCCATGTCGATGGTCAATCTTGACACCCACACAGCAGACAGCAGGAACAGGAAACAGACAGATCCGACAGTGATTTGAAACCCCTATCCTCCAGCCAGGTACACTACTACCCTGGAAATAGGCATCACGTAGCCATCTGTACTACTCTCGCTGGGATTCAGTGATTGATTTTGTTTTATTGTGACGACAAGGCAGGAAGGCAGGACCCAGACAAATGCAGCACAAGGGAGACTCTTCAGGTGCTGGCAGTTTATTTACAAAGTGCAAAGTAACATAAACTCACTTGGTCACAGGAACAAGGCATATACTACAAGGCACAGACTTCTCCAAAACATGAACTATGAGGCATGGCAACTATGAACAGGGCAAAAACACACTGAACAATGGTCCCACAAAGACAGAGAGAAGGAGAGCGGTACAGTATATATACCCTATGTGGCTATATAGGCTCCAAGTGACATGATTGAAACAAATGACAAAGACACAGGTGAGTGTGATCCTACTAACTACCTCTACCCAGCAGACAGAGCAGTAAAGGGAAACAGACAGACCTAGACATTTATCTCATTAAAAATATTTGTAATAGTTTTGTTTTCTAATCCAACCTTATTTGTTGATAACTTTAAAGCTTCCAAAAGTGGACCAAAGTGATAGAAACACATAACACCGTTTAACGGACACAAAGCTAACTGTTTGTAATTAGCCTCACTTGTGTCACCTGGTGCTCCCTGTGTATATATACCTCTCTCCCTCACTGTGCCCTTGTTGGATCATTGTTGTTGGATCATTGTAGTTGGATCATTGTAGTTGGATCAGTGTGTAAGTTAGTGACTGTCTTTGTGAGCGCTGTCTTGATGAGCGCTGTATCCTTCGTGCCAGCGTTGTGTCGAGCTTTTTTGTTGTAGCTGTTTCTTAGTTTGTTTCTGAGCAAGTCTGTTGCTGTGCTCAACTCTCTTCGTGTTTTCAGCTCTGCTCGACTTTGTGTATGCTTCAGTCCTGGTTTTTGGAATTTAGAACCTTCAAATAAACTACCTGCACCAGTACTGCATTTGGGTCCTGCCTGCTTCCTGCTATGTCGATGCCCGCACGTGACAAGTTAAAAGACATGCAGCAGCATTTTGTACCATCTGTAGGCAAACAATGGAGGACTAACTAATTCACCTACTGTGCGTTACAGTTATCCAGCCAGTTAGTAACAAATGCATGAATTACTGTTTCAAAATGCAACTGTGTAAGAATTGGCTTTATTTTGTCTAGCTGCCTAGATTGAAAGAAAATAGATCTAACAACTGCCCTGATTTGGATGTCAAATTTTAGATCTGAGTCCATTTTAACCTCAAGGTTTTTGACAGTCAGTTTAATGTACTACGCCAAAAGAACCAAGAGCTGCACGTGGGTTCCCAGTGGTACCATTCAAAACCATAACCCTATTTTATTTTCATTAAAGCTTAAAAGGGTTCAGGGCCATCCAGGTCTTTATGTCCGCAAGACACCTCAGGAGAGTACTGTCAGAGTATATATCTCTTTTTTTTAAAGAAGCACATAGATTTTAGCTGTCATCTGCTTAACAATAGAAAATACATACCATTTTCCTAAGTATGGAGCCAAAGGGAATCAAGTCCAAGCAAGTACATCAACTACTTTGGAAAGATCACCTGGGTGACTGAATAGTTACAGATACTAATGACTATTGTAACTTTACTGGGGGCTTAATGTAATTATTTTTCAATCAAACCTATGTCCACCCTTGCGATAACATCAATCATCTGCTATATTTGAAGAAGGTAGTTAAAAGTGGAGGCTGCAAATGGATAATTTAATGCAAATGTTCTTCATAATAATATATTTAGCCTTTTTTTCCTCCTGAAAATGCTTTGGATTTCTAAAAGGACACTTTTACAACTGCAGCCTTTTTCTCCTGCAGTGTGTTGCTGTAAAATTGGCAAATTCCTTGCGCTTTCACGTAAAATGTCCCCTTCTGGAAATAAGAAGCATAAATCACGGTACATGTCTGGCACCAATGTGCCCACTGTGTCATATCAGCTTGAATTTTTTACAACATGGAAGGAAAGCTACGGGTCCATTGACGATTTCCAGCCTTGGAGCTACTGTTAGTCAACCGCTCATATCCATTTTTAATGAGCTCTCAGCCATGATATAGTGTAATTTCACCTCCAGGACCTAGTGATGCTATTTACTGTTAACAAGAAACAGCACAGCAACGGCCAAATCTTTCTGATTGGAGTGTTTAGAAAATTCACAGGTTTATGACTTGAACAGGATGTTTTTTTGTGTGTATTTTGTGATACACTGTGATACACAGATTCAAGTATGCTCCTAAAGCATTTGTCTAAACATCTAAACACCTAAAAGGTTTAAAGACATTCTTTTAAAAAAACACAGTCTGCAGTGTTTTAAATTCGTTTTTCTGCTTGATTATTTTTCTGGTTTTCTTTACTTTGCAAAGGCACATAACCGAGAAACAATATAACCAACAAATCAACTTATATTTTTGGTAGTTGTCGAGCACATTCTGTTGTATGAAAATTAAAATAGCTCATTGATTTATTTTGATTGATTAGAGTCCATATTTATCTGAAACTTTATTTTGCTAACATTATGGGGGAATTGTAGAATGAAAATGGCAATCTATGAAGCAAGGAAAAATTGTGTTCTTTGTCTTGCACCTTAGCAACAGTTTGTGATCCAGACAGGTTAGAAAGTGTAAAAATTTGGATGCTGGATCAGAGGTGTTGTTGACGCGTAGATTAAAATCACCAGTTATCAGGATTCTGTCATATTTGGTACGTATGATTGAAATAAATTCAGTGAACTCCTTATAAATTGATAAAAAAGGTGGAATACTGGGGTGGTGTGAAGACCGATACACAGAGAATAGGAGGCTTGCTAAACAAAGGCATGATGTTCAAAGGACTGATAGCTGTTTAAAGGAACTGCATTTGATGACATATGATTCTAATTATTGATGCAGAGAATAACGGATGCATTAAGGCCGAGCCATGTTTCTGTCAGGATAATACCATCTAAATGATTCTCCAAAAATCAGATCATTCATAATGAAAGATTTGTTTAAAAGGAAGCAGACATTCAACACAGCCATTTTGATGTCTGTGCTGCATTGTAACATTTTACAGGCACATTAAAAACACAGCTAGGTCTAGATCTGCGAGAACGAAAGATTAGTTCATAGTGAAAGATTAGTTTACAGCAAAAGATTTGTTCACAGGGAGTGATTCGTTCACAGCGAAAGATTAGTTCACAGCGAAAGATTAGTTGACAGGGAGTGGGTCGTTTATTGTGAAAGATTAGTTCACGGCGAAAGATTAGTTCACAGCGAAAGATTAGTTCGCGGCGAAAGATTAGTTCACAGGGAGTGGGTCGTTTATTGTGAAAGATTAGTCCACGGCGAAAGATTTGTTCATAGTGAAAGATTAGTTCACGGCGAAAGATTTGTTCATAGTGAAAGATTAGTTCACAGGGAGTGGGTCGTTTATTGTGAAAGATTAGTTCACGGTGAAAGATAAGTTTGCAGAGAGTGATTTGTTCGCAGAGTGTGATTAGTTTGCACTGAGTGATTTGCGATTGATTCGTGAGTTCAGTATGAACAAATCTTTCATAAGACTGGGGAGTCACGAGTCACGAATCTTTCACATGACTCTGGAGTCAGGAGTCATATGAAAGATTTGTTCATTGTGAATGAATCACTCGCGAACGACACATCACTACAAAAGAAT